CCTAGTCCCCATTTGTGCGTATCAGAAAACCACCATGCAATTTGGCACAGCCAGGAGTTGCTGCCTGGGAGAGGAACAGCGTTAGAATAGGAGGGGAACTGCAGGTCAGGAGCAAGGTGAATTGGCGGATCTGGGAAGGGAAGTCTGTCGCACCTGCTCAGACCCAATGGCAGTTGCTATCTGTTGGCAGCACTGAGTTCATTCTGAATATATTTATATTTTAGTTTGGTCCCTTTGAGTCAAATCCAAGTCAGCTCTTTATTTTATCCTCCTCCTTATTGCTATTCATGGGGGTTTTGCCATGGGAGAGAGGAACCAGCACGCACCACAGGTTTTGGCCTGATTTTACTTACACTTATGAAGAACAAATTCATTTTGAAGTGAAGGTAGTATAAATTCTCACCAATTGGGTACACCTCAAGGATCTACAGCACAGGAGATAAACGTCCATAGGACCTTTGTCAAGGTCCCCAGGGTTTGGAAGGCACACGAGACAGACAATACCCAGCTGCATATGTCAGCGCTGTTACACAGCATATGGGCTCTCCACAGTCTCTGTTTCTCTTGTAACAACCCTGGTGATCGGGGAATGATATTGACCCCATTTTACGGAACCAAAACACAGAAAGGGTGAGAGACTTCTCTGGGGTTAGGGAGGAAACCGAGGCTCCTATCATGACTAGAATGAAGACTCGCTGCAGTGGACTTCTTGGAGGAGAAACTGGAAAAATGAAGAGTAGAGCTACAAGAGAAAGTGGTACAGACAGAGAAAGGAATATGGTACTGGAGAAAATGGGAAAGTAGGAATTGAGAGAACTGAGAAAAAAAGATGCAGGATATGAACGCAAGGTTAGGAGCAGTAATAATAATAATATTGGAGAAAATATCAGGAAAGAGGGAGTTGTTTGTTATCATTTTTAGGGAGTTTTGAAAAACTCCAAAAGCCAGTGGTACACTGAAGAAAAAAATCTAAGCAATCAAGAAAAGCAGAAAAATGTGCAATGTCTGGAGAAAGGAAGTTGTAAAGAGCAAAGAAAAAGTGGTCATATAAAAATACATTACTGAAAAATGCAGTTTTGAGGCAAGTATTTGTGAAGCTGTGCCAACTTCTGTAGATACACTTGGCTTTAAAGTGAGGAGTTATCATAGAAAAGCTGAAATACTTCATTTTGACATTTTCCTAACAAAATAGTTCAATGTTTTATTTCAGAGTAACAGTTCATTTTACAGCTGAGTTTGTTTTAATTTAAAACAGAGTAAAAGCCATCCAGAAATGAGATAGGATGTTTCAAGAAGTGGAGAATGAAACATGTCATTATACCTGAAATAAATAATTATTTTTTTTTAAGCAGTAAAAAAATTGTTTCACGATGCCCTGGAAGAATTATTCTCCTCAGTTTTTCAGTTCTGTCACTGAAGTGAAAAATCAATTATTTGTGCAGCCCTAAATGTGTAATGAGGCATGCTGAAGAAAAACTTTGGTTACAGATGCAAGTGCTCCTGTACTGAAATTTTGGAATTTTAGATACCAAAATCCAGAGTAGCTGGATGGGAGAAAGAAAAGGGCTCACCATACAGAGTTATATAATCTGACTACAGTGCTCTTTGTTATTGGGAGGAATCTTGCCGCGTTACTGGTGTTGCAAGTTTTGTTTTTAGTTTGGCATGGAGTTGTAGCCATCTTTCTCCATCCCACTGTTTATTATTCCATAGTTCCACAGTAAGCTGATCTCTCAATAAAATGCTACCACAGAAACCCAGACAGGGAGTAATCTATCAGTTTATCTCAGATTTTTTTCTGGGAAATAGTGCATACTTGATCCTGCTAGAAGCAAGATACACTTTTCTGCACCTTTTCCAGTGTAAGTTTGTCATAGCAAGCATGTATTAAAAATGCCCTAAATTTCTCATGATTTGTGCGTACATTGGAACACAGATGTCATTTTTGCAAGTTCAGTCCTTCAAAAGGAAGAGAGAAACACTTTCCTGTGCCAGTTGATTTTCCACATGCATGATCACTTTGCTTTATATTGGCCACATGCTGTTACAGAGACATAAATTCTTCCATCAGAATGCTGTGGCTGTTCTGTACCCCAACTTCCAAATCAAAACACTGCTGAAAAATTACAGAATACCAGAGATCTTTATTCTTCCATGGGGGCACTGAATAGTGAGCGGGGCCATGGTCCCACTAGGACCTGCAAAGCCTACATTAAATCTGTTTCTTTAGCTCTTCCCATCATGATAGTAAATCTAGAATCAGGAAGATAATTAACTGGATTGAATGAATGAATGCGTAAGTTATTATAAAAAAATTGGGAAAAATCACGCTCATGTACCTTATAACATCCTGTCTTACTTCTCTGAAAAAATGTTTACAAAACTTGCTGCACTTATATATTGTTTTCATCCAAAATATCACAGACAAATTAACGAAGACCGTTGCCCTGAGGTTGGTTGGTCTATGTTCAGAAAGTCCGAACTTCTCCCTGCTGCCTCCCTGTGCTCCAGCCAACACCTTCCCAGATGCAAGTAACTCAGCCCCTGTCTTTTACACCTTCCCAGTCCCTCTGACAGAGATTCACGTCCATCAGACGATAACTCTCATAGATGAAGTTGATGCCGAATGAATCTCGAGACCATCACCAACCATTTCTCTGAGAAAAGTGATGAGAAGATGACTACAATGTTAAGATGCTGAAATACGCCAGTCAATGTTTTTTACTGCTGGCCATGGCCCAGTGACACTTTCTGAATTTTGAACACATGCAAAACAAGTTGGCAGCTTTGCTGTAGCTGAGTCAGTAAAAAAAGCTGTTGTAAATGCTTAATCACATAATATTTTCTAGATATCTGTATGAATTTATGTGCTTGAATTTGGATGAACTTCAGTTGAATTAACTTTGATTCTTTTTATTCTTACGGGGGCTCCCTGCCCTGCCCCCATTCCTTGCATTCCTTTGTCTGTCCTGTTTCACTTACTTATTTCTGTTCATGAAAGCTCAAAGAGATATTTGAATGCAGAAATACTGCTGTATCAAGGCTTTGCTGTGTAAAATAGCCTGGAATTCCTGAAATCCCATATTACAAATACGTATACTTTGAATTTGTCTGAAGTTTCTTCTGTTACAGAGCCTTTGAAAGAAATCACAAAAAAGCAGTAATGTAAAACTAATTTTATTGAAAATACATCTACAAAGTAATGTTTCTCAATCCACTCTGGGTGCATATCAATGCAGAACCAGTGAGTGATGGGGAAAGGAATCTTTCTATAATACCTGATTTCCATAAGAAACAAAGTTAGTATAAAAAAGATCACATACTTTGTGACACAATTCGTTTTTCTCAGCTGATGTCATAGAAAGACAGCCATTTACATTAAATCTTTGCAATGTATTTCCAAACAGAATCTTAACAAAAATTAAATTGTTACACCATAAATTCTACAGTTAACTTTTATACACACATTCTGAATACAGTATCTATATAAAAATATCTCTAATTACATATCAGAAAACGTCTGTCTGTATTCTAGGTTTGCATCCTGTTAGCAAAAAAAAACCAAACAAACCACACTTGTTTTCTTTCGGTCAGAGATTCATTTAGAGCTTTGTAGGTCTGACTGCTCAATACTCTGTATTAAACCCTGCTTACTTCCTTCACTGGAGATTTCCTGCCCATATTGTCTGGGTTACTCAACTGAAGAAGATTGGCAGGAATTGTCAGTCTTAAAAAACCAGTCTTGCCTCACCACTCAAAACACGGGGAAAGATGTGCCTTTAACCAGCATGCTGACATTTTCACTGCAGTTACTTGCACACCACACTGATATGCTTTTAGTGACAAAAGCAACATCCTGAACATTTTTTGAGTGGCAACTGGGATATTGCAAGGGAATCCTTCATTTCTTCCATCAGAATTCTTTTTCGGGGTGGGAGGGGAGACAGGAGAAAGGAAGAGAAGCAAACATTTGAATAAGAAAGACCGTTCAACAGTGGTGTGTCTTTCAATTAACATTTCTTCATTCCCCAATTGTAACTGCATTATAAAACTTCCCATTTTAGCTTCCATACTAATACAAGGTAAAAAGAAAAAAATATATAATTTATATTTCTAGAAAAGGGCTTCATCAGGGAGTAATGTTGAAACGGACAAAAAAAAGCCACAGGATTACAAGTGCATTATCTCCCTTTTTTCGTTCTTTCCTTATCTGTTCCCCAAAGGAAACCTACAATATTGCGCTTCAAAAAACCTTTCTAACAACATTTTCAACATTTATAACAGTATTTACTATTTTGCAAGTTATATATTTTTCCTGGTAAAAAATAAAAAAGCACCCATTAGTTTTACTTTCTAAAGGATTATTTTTTATTTTTGAGATACTGCTGATAAACACACAAAGATTTGGAAATTTCACATTGAGATAGAGAGCCTTCTTCTCCAGACGGAAAAATATAAATCCAGCTAATAGCTTCATTACTTATCAACGGAATGACCAAGCTTTTGCGAGGTTTCCAGTTGGAAAATCTCCTCCTGGTCTCGGGGATTCTAGCAATGCCATTTCAGCACAGGCTGATTTAGGATCCAGTCCTAGTAGGATCCGAGCATCTCACCCTTCTGTACCTTCTGCAAAGTGCTGGCATTGTCTTCTATTCTTATTAGTGTTTCTTAAGTAGGTAACTGGCATGTCCACAGCATTCTATGTTCTTTTCAAACATAGAGGAAGTCACGTACCCTGTCCCAGAGACAATACAATCTAGGGCTTTGCCCCTTGTGAACACTTATACACATAGATAGTTCGACTGAGTTGCAGTGCTGAAGATAAGGGGGTGAAGGTACATATACATACATGCACGCATAAGTTTCTGCAGTCAGGGGGAGCTGATTGCTAAGCAGGCTGTTTTGGTCAAATCAGCTGAGTCTAACGCAAAAAATTGTGGCCAGGAGAAATCACTTTCCCAGAAATGTTATTTCAACTCAGCTGATAAAAGTGCTGATTGTTTTTTTTTTTTTTTTAACACATCTCCGTTTTTATCCTTTCATTTAACGTCCCTCTTTTTATTGTGCTGCTGGTAATAAAACAAGGATGTAACACTATAGAAAAATGACATCAGACAAAAAAGTGAAAAGCCTGTTAATTTACTTAGCTGGATGCGGTTATCGAGTTAAAATGTTGATTGTGTGCTTATAGATGTTAGGATGTTTGCAACAGGTATTTTAAAAAAATAAAACCATTTTTCAGGCTCTGCTATCTGCTTTTACTTTCCAGTTCATAAAAAAAAGAATAAGATCACATTTACAGGACGGAGTAACATATACACTGGTATGTTTTACGATTTAATAAACAATCTCTCTTTTTTTATTCTCAGTTAGCACATGTCTAGCAGGACCGGTAGTGTTGCCTGTTAATTTTTTTTAAGTGGGAAGCCAACATATACCTTGATCACTGCTAATTTGGAATATATTGTCATTAATTATTTTTCAGTGCTAGCATGAAGGGAGAAAACAAGGACTAAGCAGACTTGGTGAATTCAAGACATAAATGGCTGGAAAAAGTATAAGCTTTCCACACTTGTAGTGTTGGACTCATGCCTTCTTTACTCTACATCTTGGTTTCACTATCTAATGGTTTCTCACTCTCATTTTCCTGTGAGATCAGTTGGTATGGTTTCTTCATTTCATTTTCCTCTATCACAGAATTACCCATCTCAGCATCCCTGTTCTTCAGCTCATGCCGTGATAAATGTTCAACAATTCCTGCTCCAATGGAGTCGCCCAAGACGTTGGTAGTGGTACGGAGGCGATCCCTATGGAGAAATAGTAAATCAGCCTTGACCTTACCACTTGCTCAGGGAAGCATGCAGACTAGTTGTTAAAATGGCCTTTGAAAATAGCTGCTAGATGATTCAACAGTGTTATGTGCATTCATTTATCTGAACAGTTAATGCCATGATTCCATCTATAGAAATGAAAAAATATATCAGGATTTACAGACGCAAAATGTGTTAATATTCCTGGCAACTTCACAGCAAGAAACAGCTGATGTGTGATGAGAGCGATAAAGGCACCATGTGGTAGGGGCTTCTTGGAGGCATTTCTATACTATAGTGCTTTGGGTTTATATCCTCCTGAGATGTAAGCCAATGACAGTCTACCTTCTTACTGTCATTTCCCTCATGACCATAAACTATGGCCAGTAGTTCAGGGTGGAATTCTGCTGAAATGATTCAAAGTGAACCAAAACAATTCAGCCTTCTTAAAGATCTCTGCCCAGAAGATGTAGGAGGCAGCCTGACAAGGAGAGACTGGTTCCTTACTTGGTGAGCGTCCACCTATATTAGGCTATGGGCATGTAGTTGGATTACCATTTGAAGACACTGTGTTCTGATAAAGACACGAGCAACTTTTTCTAGGGCTCTTTTGAGACAGAAAAATCCTCTGGAAACTATAACTAATAGTGGTCAGAAATAGAGGTCAGAGGAAACCCTTTTGCTTATGGTTTAGTTCCTGGAGCTAAAGGTTTCCCCCATATATCTACGGCTGCCAGTTAAGTGTTCTGCAAACAGAGGGATGGAGAAGCTGAAGGGCAATACATTGTACTGGCTGGACAGGACAGTTACTCTAGTTTTTCATTTCTATGTCCATGGGGAAGACATAGGAACCTTTCCTTGATGAGATAGGCAGCAGGGCTGCCATGAACTGGGTCAGATTTGAATTAGTGAACTTCCATACTCTGACCCTGATTGATGGAAAGGTTTTCATTAACAGCCTACAAAAAAATACAAAACCAAACCAATTCTTTACTAATTGAATTACATACAATGTGTCTGAAAGTTTTCTTAATAACCTAAGGATCCATGTTTCTGAGTAACCCTTTTGCATGCAAAAGGAATCACCATTAAGTAACACGCCTCACCACCTGCTCTAAGAAGAGAATTTAGTTGCAAAAAATTGTGATTTTTAATGCTTTTTTTCAATTGCCTTCCATAGCTAAAGAAGGATCCCACTGATCGTAGTATTGTCAGAATGTACCTGACTGTTGTGCTTTTAAAAATGGTCTAACCCCTTAGATACTTACTTATGGTCTAACTCCCAAAATACTTACAAAAACCAGTCCACTGCAATGATAAGAGTGATATCATCTGTAGGCAAACCAACTGATGTAAGCACAATGACCATGGTGACCAGTCCAGCTTGAGGAATGCCTGCAGCCCCAATACTGGCAGCTGTAGCTGTGATGCTGTGCGTAGAGAAGGCAAGAGCAATTAACTGACTTCCACAATAGACTCTCCTTATCGTCTTGCAAACATTAAAAACAGATATGAAGCAAAAAAGCAATTTCTCAGTAGTAAAGGAAGAGATGAGCGCAGTCCCTAATCTGAACACTGCACAGCTCCAGGGCAGCGTGGATCTTAATCCAAAATGTTTACACTTAACCTTTAACCAGAACCCTGAAACATGGTTTTGTGAGATAGTAAATATCCCTGCTGGATGCTAAGGGCCAGTGAAAAACATTTCAGCTACCTGTCATCACCCATTAAACAAATCCACTCCACCAGCTCAAACAGGTTAAAAGAAAAGCTGAGGAGGTTAAGTTTGTCCTAGCAAATCTAATACAGGCACTTGCGCTGTCTGTCCATGTCACTACACCTTCACACCAGGTGAAGTATCCTCTGTCCTACGGAAGCTGGCATTCAGCCAGCAGAAAGCAGGCAGCTGGCAGAAATCCTGAATCATACACTCTAGTAGCTTCAGAGAGATATGCTTGTTCACATCTGATTTAGGAAAAGTTTGTTCTGTCAGGTGATGTGGCAGTGAGCAGCTGTAGTACTAATGAGTGTGAAACTACTGCCTCAGACTCAGGATGTGCCTCATGACAGTGTGAAAGTGGTTTTGCCTCCTGTTGATGAATATGGAATTAAGTAGATGGGTTTTATGGAGAGAAGCGCTTCTTTTTGAAAATCTTCTTCATTCCCAATTTACCTTATCTGAGCTCGTGATGTTCCTGAGTGATAAATATCTGTGTCTCTGTCCTACAGTGTCCCCTCTCCCCCGTTGACATCTCTCTTCTGCACACGTACCCATCACGCTTTCCTCTTAAACTGCTTGATTAACATAATGCAGATAAATTAATGCAGATCGGTAATCATCTAGTGGTACTTAGTGGGTTGTTTGCTGTTCTATCAGAGATGTGAAGGCTTGTGTACTTGAAAAGGCACATCTATCTTCTCTAGTTCTATCCATTGGTCTAATAAAAAGTATTATTGCTCCTTACATAGCGTGCTCTACTCGTATCCTGAGACCATCGTGACTAGCAAAACGTACCCCTTCTAGCAGTAGCTCTCTGCCATGCCACTGTGCTGCTCTCATGGCGCTGCTTTGTACAAGCATTATAAGCTATCTAGTACTGATTATAAGTCTACTGCTCCCAACAGCTGCATGAGATCTTAAGAAAGAAAATTTAAAAGTTGTTAAAAACTGCTCCTGATGACTCTACTAAGTGCAGTGATAGGTGTCAGGCTACAGTTTTTAAAGGTTTACCTAATGGAGAATATGTACTGTGGGGCTTCTTCTGTGCAGATGTCAATCATTACATTTATTCAGCTACTGCAGCTGTAGTTCTTGCTTTTAGCTCTAGACACTTTTGTTTAATCTCTCATATACTGGCAAGAAGGAGTCATCACAAAGGTACTTTGATTAGGTGTAGGTAATAACGGCTTCTGTACCTGATTGTGATAATCTGCCCAAAGTTCAGATCAAAGTTGTTAACCTGCGCAATGAAAATTGCAGCCAAAGCCTCATATAAAGCAGTTCCATCCATATTAATTGTAGCACCGACTGGGAGTACAAATCTTGTAACTCGCTTGTCCACTCCGTTTATTTCTTCTAGACACTTAAATGTAACAGGTAGCGTGGCAGAACTGAAACAGGAAGAAAATAATACGCAGTATAAATTCTACAGAGAGGGAGAAAAAAGATTGTCATGTATTATAATGACAAAAGAGACTGTCTGACAATTGCCCCTTCCAAGTGTCTGTGTGGGTTTTGATGACTTGATGTTTATGAGAACTGCCAGCCTATTAAAAAAAAAATGTCCAGGCTAGATTTAAACCCTCCTCATGGTGGAGATCTCCTAACGCCCTAGGAAAGTTTTTCCAATGGTTAAATTACTGTCACTCTCCACATAGTCCCTTGTCTGAATTTGTTTAACTTCAGTATTCAGTCACTGGGTTTTGTTATACTTTGGCATGCTAGGCAGAAGAATCTATTAAAAAATTCCCACTTCCCATTTTTGGTGCCTCGCAGTTATGATTAGATCACTCCTAAGCAATGTTTCTCCCTGTTAAACAAATTGAGCTATTCAAGCCTTCAGTATGTTTTCTGTTCCTTTAATAGTTCTCATGGCTCTTGGCTAGATCCCCTGGACAAGGTATTGTGACGGATGATTACATTCCTTTACCACCTTAATGTTGTTCCCCTGTTGGTACATGCAAATATCATATAAGTAGCCATTTCATTTAAAGAACAACCCAGTTGATCATTTTTGTTTCATATTGTACTGGAATGCCCATTGAGTCAACGTGACACCAAATTCCTCTTCAGAGACATTGCCACAGAATGGAGGATAATGTGGCCATTCCGTAAGGGCGGCTGTACTCTTTGTTCTTAAAGATATGTCTCTACATCTGCTTACACTAAAGTAAAGAGGTTTCTCAAGACCCAGCAATTTAGGTTACTCCCTTCTCAATGGTCTGCCTCTTCATTGCTAACTACTTCACAGACTTTCATGTCTCTGAAATCTTTATCAATGCTGAGTTTATCTTTCATTCGGATCACTGATAAAATTTTATGTAAAGAAAGACTCTGTAAGACTCTGCTAGAAAATCTGTCATATTTTGATGACAATCAACTTACAGTTGAATTTTAAATAGTTTTTAATCCACTTACAATACGTCTTCTTGATCCGGCATCAGTGTAGGCTCTTACTCAGAATCTTGAGCAGTGCCAAGTGGAACGTGTTACAGAAGTTTGAACATATCTCGTTAATGTGCTTACTGTTACCCTCCAACGTTGTAATTTCATAAAAACAGATATTAATTTAATTTGCCACTATTTATTTTCTCTGAATTTCACTATGTTGACTGGCATTAGTTATATTATGTTCATGTTTAAATCATTATTAATCAAATCTCTTTTCAGCCATTCCACTAATTTGCCAGAATTGACATCAAAATGCAAATGTGAAATTAATAACTATTCCTCTTTACCCCTTAGTATACTGGCGTAATTTTCTTAAAGCCCTCAAAAGCTTTTGCAGTCTTACAAAGCTTAATCAGATTCCACATTAATGATCCAAATAACTTCTCATTCAGATCTTTAAAATAAGCCCAAACACTAGTATCTTAGATACAGTTATGAGGAATGGTGGACTGAAAATATCTGTCTTTAGGGGTCACTTTTTAGATTTATTAAAAAGGAAAGTGTTTCATGAATGATCATATGATATAGGAAATTTATATTTCAGTACAATAACGATTCCTTTTATCGTAAGGACAAACAGCATTTTTACTCATCTGAAGGCCCTCTGAATTCGTCAACAAAGAGCAAAAGTGGCATCTCTACTGTAGGTTGTGATTTTGAGCATAGAACTTCACCTGTAAAGAAAGGCTCTCAAACTCTCTCAGAATCCCTTTTAAACCCTCCTGTTTGCCTCACCATTTTGCCATGCATAAATGTAAAACTTTCCTTGTCAACTTCATCCTTCACCAACAGACCACAATAAAGCACATACAAATCTCCAACACCAAGGTTAATCAAAGTCACAAGGCTTCCAACCATACAGTCTGCATCAACAAACGGACCTATTTCAACCCTGCTCAAGCTTTCTCACAGAAAATGAAAATAGACCACCCAAGTCAATATAATGATAATCTTCTATATCAGAGAGCTGCAGAGCTGAAATAAAGTGTCCAAATGAGTGTTTGTTGTCTATGAATATGGAATTAACCAATTACGTTAGACAAAATTGTTTCTCAAACCGATTATATTAAAAATTATATAGCTTTAAAATATTGTATTGTACCTGGAAGATGTTCCCAAAGCTGTGACTAGTGCCTGGATCAGTCCTCCAATAAATACCCAAGGGTTCTTACGAGTGATCAGGAAGTAGAGAAGAGGTAGGACGATGACCGCATGAATTAGCAAACCGATAATAACTGTTACAGTATACATAGCAAGCTGACCACCGATCACACCCATATCTTCCATCTCAACAATTTTTCCAGCAATCAAGAAGAGGATTCCAAGTGGAGCATACCTGCAAATAAGAAATCAAATCAATATTGTACTGAACAAAGTAGAGATCCATTCCCCCATCCACGTTTTTAGTTTATATGCATGCATGGATGTAGGATTTTACGAGTTGGATGACCGCAATTATTCAGAAGCCGTTAAAGATCTTAACTCTTTAACTCCTAGCAGGTCAACCTGGATGAAATCACAGCAGTGACCATTTCTGTTGGATTCAGGATCTGGTAAGCGAAAGTCGGGAGAAGAACTTTTATAGCATGCTTTTCAGACATCTGAAGAGATGAGCTCCCTTTGGAATTCAAGTGTTCAGGCTGCTTCTGGCCTTTCCCAGTGGGGCATAGGACAAATCAGCATGGAATCCGCCCGCACAACAGAGGCTGGCTGCACTGTGGGGTCAGCTGTAAGGATGGTAAAAGCTACTTTTGCCTTTCTGGTAAGCACAGCTACAAACGAAGGGCTAGCTCTATGTGACAGACTCATTAAGAGCTTTAGAAACATTATGCTGTTACAGCTGGACTTACAGCCTTATTTCCATGAATGTCCATCTTTTTATACCAAGGGACCACAGGACACCATTTATCCAACACAGCTCAGTTAGATACACTTTTAGCCATCAAATCCATGTAGAAACTTCTCAAAAGTAACAATTCTCACCCACTGTTTTATTATCTTAATTGTAGGTGTGAAGAAGGAGAAGAAAAGACTTTTGCTTTGTGTAGATGTTTTCTGGCAGAACAGAATTTTACTTTTTGGAAAAATATACTTATTTCTAGTTTTGCATCTTGTACTAAACTTATGCGGATGTGTTGTTGGGTTGGTTTGGGGTTTTTTTATGGTAACTTTTTTTTTTTGGTAAGACAATCTGCTGCAGTAAAGAAGGCAACAAGACGTTTCAGACATCATTTCTTTTCACAGTTAAACCCTCTACCTGAGGAATACTCTATCTTCATTGTTGAAGAGACTTCACAGATAATGCTTGAGGGAAAATACTTTGATTTTATTTATCTGTTGAACACAATAAAGGAAGTAGCAAACATGATTTGCAAACATCTTTCCGTGAGCAGTGCAGCTACAATGCAGGGAGATATGTATATGTGCTACAACACAATTGCAGGAACCAGTTGTGGTGGAAAGGAATGATAACAAGGTCTTACTGCGTAGAGATAAGATTATGCAAGAAATTTATCAGTTTTCTTTAGTGAAGTCAGAGTAGGTTACAAGGAAACTTTGGTGGCATATTGATGTGATTTTTGTCTACTTATAAAGATATAAAATGGGCCTGTATAAGTGTAACAAATTCTGCCATGGCCCCTGATTTTTAATCACTCTTGTGAAAGGGCAGGTATGTTTTGGAAGATTATTGATATAAGGAATTACAATTCCTTGGTTCATTTACCAAAAAGTTAGAAGATAGTTAAGATATTATTATCGGACTTCCTGTCAAACACAGACTCTTGCTAGCCAGTGGATGACTCTGATGAAAAAATATTATTAATGACTTAACATAGCCTATGTCAAAGAGGCACTTACCACATGATTAGAGCTACCAGTCGCATGATAGCTTCATTCAGGCTATCAAAGAAGTCTTTTAATGCCTGACCTTGCTCCTTCATGCTTCCAATCACCAGGCCGAAGCTTATTGAAAAAACCACCAAGCCAAGGGCGTTGACTCCATTTACAGAACCCGGAACAGGAACTATTTCCTCTTGCATTCGGGCAAGGGTTTCCATTGCTTCTGACACATTACTTATTATGGAAGCCACTGTGGATGTGTCGTTGGGTGGAATATCTACTTTAAACATTCTCTTCTCATAGTTAGTTTTGAACTAGTAAAACAAAAAGAAAAGGAAGGGAGAAATTACTGTGAATTATAGCAAACAAAGGTAAAAATCATCACACATGAAATAATTCATATTAGAGGACATGTGAATTCTTGATGTAACATTTATTGGTAAAGTGAACAGTGATGAAAACCTGGCTTTACTGAAGGCCACATAAAAAACCCATATTAACTGCAAGGGCTAAAGCTTCACCTTTAGCTTCCAGACTATCACTATCTCATACACGTGTATAAGTCAAAATCAAATATGCATGTTTATCATACTCCTGAATTTTGTGACAAAACTAGGAGTTCTTAGTTTGTGTTTTTATAAATTGTTATTTTTCCCAACAACATTTTTACTTCATACAGCAAAGCTGTTACAAAATAAGCCATTTAGGATAGTTGCAATCTTTTCATACGCTCCAGGACTTCCTTACTTTTTCATCTTTTTAATTAAAAAAAAAATACTGAAAACAACCTAAATATTACATACCTCTTTCTTCTTTTTTAAACCTGAGATTAGGAGATTGCTATGGCAAAGCCATTAATTTTCTCTGCTTTCACAGTAATAAATCACCAGTTTCGGTGTATCTCTTTATTAGGAAAAGGGTTCTACTTGAAGTGGTCCCATTATGGGACAGGCAAATCAAATTCAATATCTGAATATACTACTAAATCTGTACTTTGAAAACCAGGCTTCCACCACCTATTATTTTTCAAAAGAGAAATGCATATCCTGATTATTTCTCTCTGGGCTCCAAAAAGCCCTGCATCCCTGTCCTGTTTAAATTCTTTTGTGTATGAAGACTACTAAATACCTCTTGAAAAATGTTTCAAATTTATCTCAGGATGCTAAACACCATATTAAGCAATGGGATGCAAGTGTGACATATTCAGCAACTTTTGATTTTTATTTCTTTGGGCCTCTCTAAAAAAACCAAAGATTAAGCCAAAGAACTGTAGTATTATTAGTCATACTTGGAGACTGTTGCACACTTTGCAAGCTTTATTTGAGTGAAATGGAGCTTATATTTTATGACGAAGATGCAAAACTTGAATATCAGCATTGAGAAACACTGATCTGATCATGAGGAAAAACTTCTTTCCTGTGAGGGTGACAGAGCACTGGAACAGGTTGCCCAGAGAGGTGGTGCAGTCTCCTTCCCTGGAGATATTCAAAACCCGTCTGGACACGATCCTGGGCAACATGCTCTAGGTGACCTTGCATGAGCAGTGGGGTTGGACTAGATGATCTCCAGAGGTCCCTTCCAACCTCGGCCCTTCTGTGATTCTGAATTTCTGATTTTTTTCCATACCTGAATACTTTTGATGCACGCCTAACAGATATTTGCTGTATCCCCTGAAGGTTTAAAGAACTTCAGAATTTCAAGTAAGAGTTGCTTTATGGAAAATTTCTGAATAAAATATAGCAGAACGAATGTCCATGGAAGTCAGCTATTCTTGAATTTGAAATAAAATTTGCAAAAAAGCTGTAAGACTTGGGCGGCAGTTAGACGAGAGAACCAAGCTGTTGTAGTAGTTGCCTGACACTGAAAAGCACAGTTCCACTCCCTTGCCCACTCCATTTTGTGATAATTTCTTCTCTGTGCCAGTTCTAGTCTGGTCTCTCTATGAGCCAGTATTACTCCTTATGTCGACAGAAAACTAATCCAGCAAAAAAAGCGGCTATTTCTTGGAAAGGGAATGGAGGTGAATCAGCTCACTGAGGAATCATTGAATGCCACAGACGGCAAAACACCGAGAGTAGGACTACACAGCCAGGGAAGAAGGGGATGGGATTGCCTGTTTAAGTGACAGAGCTAGTAGAGTGGAAATGGAAATTATCCAGCAGTTAACACCGAAGGAATTTTATCACAGTCCTGACAATAACATTTAAATACTACCTAATACTGTACGTCAAGCACTTCTAATTCTTTTTTTATGTTTAGGGGTATGATGATTATATTATATTCATATTTTTATTTCTTTTTTTAAGTAGAAAAGAAAGCTAGGCGAATTTACTTAAGGCAAAAGTCTGAAAGCAGTAAATATGCTGGACTTGTGGGCATGCAGATTAGACCAACATTGAAAAGCAAGCTTCTTTATGAGCACTGGAATTAAAGCCTGATTTCCTACAGGATTTCCTAAGGATTTATTTCCTACTTTCCCTAGACACATCATAACTATCTTCTCCCAAGTTCTCCTCCATGACCCTCAGATTCTTCTCTCGTTCCTACCTATGCGACCAGGTCAAAAGCAACATGTGGCATGGCTGTTTGACAGTGTTAGATGTATACCGATTATCTGACTAGCTGCAGCCTGTCCCAATAGGACAGGAGCTGTCTTAACTGTTTTTTCCTCAGTGGCGATACAGTCTGGGTTTTTCTGAAACTGTGTCCCCCTGTGTCAAGATCAGGTTGGAAATGGCCACTGGGTCTAAAAATTATTGCGGGAGGACAGAGAAAGAGCTGGGCAGCAAGAGAGGAAAAAACACATCACATAAAGTGTCTTTCCTTTAAACACCCAGTTAGAAATCCTCTTAGGAGGCAATAAGCATATTCCTTCTTTTTTAGCATTGATTCTGCAATTGTATTCCAGCGGGAGGATGCCTTTGGTCCCTTACTAGTTATAGCTCTTCAGAGCTATAGCATGGATTTTAGGACCTCATTTAGCAATGCAAAAACTTTTTCAATTTCAGCTATGAGAGTGGTACACAGATATGCAGGCTTTTCTGTTGACTTGCTCTGTTGGTAGGATGTAGATATTCACAAATGTTAGCTTTAGCCTAGGGAGAGTAGTCTTTCTAGAACCCTTCACAGGACAATACAGAAAGACTGTTTGTTTAGAGTGAGATTCAAAATGGGAATCTTGAGCAACAAGAATCAGAGCAACTTTATTTGCTCTGAGAGAGTCAATTGAACTAGTCTTTCTCTCATTATTGATAAATGAGGTTAAGGTTAACTTTGTGAATGTATCTGTCTTTTTATACTCAAATCTATCTATCAGAAGTGGTCATGAGAAAGTTCTTGGTGAAGCAAAAGAAATTGAAGAAAATCAAATAAAGGAATTGCAAAGCAGATTTCTTCTTAGGAAAAAGTGTAGGCTGAGGTTTATTTTTTGTTAGTGCTTTCTCAGATGACACTAAAGGCAAAATACAAGATTGCTTGACCCCTACAAAGGAAATTTCCTGTGAAAAAAGTCAACTGTGAAAAAGGGTGAAAAAGCCAACAGATGAAAGATATTAGAAGAAATGAGACAAAGAAAAACTGCTCACGTAAAAACACATTGCAGGCCTAGGGATCTCCGAAGAGCTGATTATGTTCTCCTAGAATCCCCACACCTTCACAGATGATCTGTGAAGGGCTAGTACAACATCACTGAAGTCCTGTCATTTCTGAGGATAAGTCTGGGCCACTTTGTCTCCAGGCAGAGGTATTTTGCCTGGTAAGGTTTTAGATATAAAATATTCATGCATTTTCTTTAAGTTCATTTATAGAAAGCAAATTAGGAGCAAGGTGGATGTTGTGTGGTACATGCTAATCCTAATAGCTTTCTATTAAGAACTTTTTCTGCAATTAAAATATAAAAATAATGGCACTTCTGGACTTTGTTGCAAGACATGGTGCTAATAAACACCTTTAAAACAAATGTTAATTATCTCATTATGAAACAGACAATATATATACATTCCTGCATAATATAATGAATTACCTGTTTCAGCTTTTGTTATTCTTTTGTTTTCATTAGCAGTACAAAATACCCACAGCCATTTCACCTGAACATAATGCATAACTTTTTAAGAAGCAACTTTACACCACTGTAGTCGCACTTTCCAGTGGTTAACTAGCAAACAGGGCAATCACATGTGTAGCTGCTCTGAGAACTCATGATTTACTGCCAGGACTTTGAGATAGTATAATTAGTTCTATCTGTGCTGAAGCAATGTGGTGGTGTAGTTTTTAGTGATAATGACTTTAAAAGCAACAAGTTTGCTAGCCCGTTCCTCTGCACCTTAAGTGCAAGCCTAAAAAAATGGGAAATGAAGACAATAAGACAATGATATCCCATCTTCTTGGTTTAGTTTTTCTTTCCTTTTCACATGGACCTGTGTGAAAGCATCCTAAGTATACACAGAAGAACGGATGAAACAGGTCCAGCCAAGACTATCACTAGGAATAGACAGCATGCACTAGTTAGTAATCGCATGTGTGCACATGTGAATGCACTTGATAAGGATGAGCTAAGGGAAGAATATTAATTTAAAAAGTATCAGAAGAAATGCAGTTACCAGATGCACATTTCTAGTTCTCTAGGCTTCAGCTGGCATCAAATTTTGCCTATTTACAACACAATGCCCCCCCGACCCCCAAATTACTCCCAATCAATCCCCCCCAATCTTTCTCCAGATGTTCAAAGTTCACTTGTATTTCTTCTGTCTTTTGATATATCCTCAAGCAGAGCATGAAGAATGAGCAGTTAAAATGCAGTATCTGCCTACAAAGCAGGCTGCTTGTAACTGCTTAGCCCCGTGATAGGTAGGATCTTCAAATGGAGCAAAGAGAGAGAAGTGAAGAGATAAAGGACAGAAGTGAAAAATTTCAAAGATTTCTTAAGATATCCCCAAATTGGATAGTTTTAGATATGTCGAATGTCTATCTGCACTCAGTCTTTTTAGATTCTCCTGTAACTAATAAAAATCCCCCCAAACCCAAATGATCAGCACATAGCAAAGGCAGCAACATGTGTCACGTGGAAATAACCAGCACCAGAAAGTATACTGTCTGGTTTAACAATCTGCTGTTTGCAGTGATTCCCATCTGCCACTGATGTTATTGGCATTGATCTAAGTATTGATAGAGCCAGAGTGCCAACGGGACTTTGGGCTTTGACCGGGGGGGGGGGGGGGGGGGGGGGGGGATTTAAGAATGAAGTGAAGCTAAAGCCCAGCACTTCTCAGTTTATTATTCTTAACTTCACCTGCTAGGCAAGGGTGGATGTCTGTCCCTATAGGCTTTCCTGGTACAAGGGGCTGAATGGTACCGGTTATGCCTGAAATGGTTCTGCTGTTTCTCAGGCAGAGGTTTAAATGTAAGGATTTCCCTAGCTCTCTGGTGGGCTCTCCTTCACTCCTGCAGGGACTCCTCCTGGCTTCTGGTTTCTATAGTGCAGGGGCCATTCTGGAGGGGAAGGAGCACTTGGATTCATCATTCTTGCTGTTTCCTGGGAAGAAAATGTGCAAAGAAGGAGGAAGCAGCAGTTTTATCTACCTCAGGGACTTGCTGAGAAATAAGAGCAGGAAAGAGACTCCAAAGGAGCAGAGGACTGAATGGGAAGATCTTTCCTAAAATAACCTAGGGTCCTAG